CTCATATTCATGATCATTGTCATCAATATCCATAATTGCCAAATCCAATAAGGACAGCCAGTAGACAAAAGAAGTACTAGGTTAGAGTTTCCCAACCCCCTGTTCTCCAGGGGTAAGTGTGCGAGGAAAAAATGTAGAGCGAGAAGTTGTTTATGTGGATTGAGTTCTTAGAGCCAACTCGACCTCTTCCCTCCTCTTCCTTATAATCAAACATTTTATTATTTATTTATTTAAAATTCAATTAGCCAACATATAGTACCTCATTAGTTTCAGGTGTAGAGTTCATACACATTCTATTTATTTATTATTTTTTTAATTTAATTAATTTATTTTTTTATTCTTATGTTAATCCCCATACATTACATCATTAGTTTTAGATGAAGTGTTCCATGATTCATTGTTTGTGCATAACACCCAGTGCTCCATGCAGAATGTGCCCTCCTCAATACCCACCACCATGCTAACCCATCCTCCCACCCCTCTCCCCTCTAGAACCCTGTTTGTTTTTCAGAGTCCATCGTCTCTCATGGTTCGTCTACCCCTCCGATTTCCCCCGCTTCATTCTTCCCCTCCCGCTACCTTCTTCTTCTTCTTTTTTTTTCTTAACATATATTGCATTATTTGTTTCAGAGGTACAGATCTGAGATTCAACAGTCTTGCACAATTCACAGCGCTTACCAGAGCACATACCCTCCCCAGTGTCTATCACCCCGTCACCCCATCCCTCCCACCCCACCCCCCACTCCAACAACACTCAGTTTGTTTCCTGCGATTAAGAATTCCTCATATCAGTCATACACATTCTATTTAAATGAAAATTACCATTTTGGGGGAATTGCCACATTTAGAGCCCAAATTGCCTGTCTAAAGTGTGTGCTCCACGGGGAGTGGGGCTTGGTTGTCCGATTATCTTTTCCAATTTCTCTTTTAAGAGTCCATTTCATCTTTCAACAGCACTTGCTGCCTAGGTATGCCATGGCCATGAAAGTTCCAATGAATATCCCCCATTGCTGCCTACTGCTGCATATTTGTCATTGTTGTTGTAAGGTGGCACTGTTGTCTGACTAGATATGTTTAGGGAATACAAATAGATAACAACATAACACTGTCCATCTAAAACCCCTGAATAGTATGGCTGCCCATCTGCTCTGTGGACAGGGATGGAAGTATTGGACTCTGAAAAGGTGTCTATTGTCATCAACACTCAGCAGTACCCGCAGGTGGAGGGTAGAGAGCCCATATGGTCTATTTTCCAGCACTGGCCAGGTTTGGTATCCTTGGTTATTGGTCCCAGAGTTCTCTCTGCTACTCAACTGCATAGCTGACAGCCTGGGCATATTTGCTGGGCTTTCTTGACCTCATGTGCTGGAATCACTGTGTCTTATTTTTAGGCTTAGTCACGAATGATAAATTCTCATGCCCTGTGTGATGGTGTGTCCAGGTGGCTATGGTCCTTACCTGGGTCCTTATCTGATCATCTTGTGGATTCTGTTGATGTTCATCTTTGTAAGGTCCTTTACCATGGGCATCCACATGGTCACAAACAGGATGTGGGTCTCGTGCAGTCTGCTATCATAATGCTTCATCCCCAAAGAGGCTAAAATTTGATCATTCAGTTGTCCCACTGCCAGGCACCACACCACATTGCCAGTCCATTGGCTACTGCCCATGAATCAGTGAAAATGTCACAAGGTGCATTTGGGGGAATATTTTCCAGGGGAGCACAACAGCCTACAGCTCCTCCCATTATGCAGAATTCTCTTAGCCACACACAGTTTTAAGCAGTTTTCTTTGAGGCTGCCCAGTGGCAGTGGTCTACTACATCCTTAGCTGGTAAGTACATGAACCAGGCCCAGGAATACTCAGGAATGTTAGTGTTCCAAAGCTCCCAAGAAGTCCAAAGTGCTGGGCCAGACACCGCATCTGACACGGCTGCATCTACAGTGTGACAGGGCCTCTTTTGAGCGATCCGATACGATGAGTTCAGCAAGATTCTCATCCTCGTGTGAGGTATGGAGAGCCTCCAACACCGGAACAAGCCAGCAGATGTTGTGCCTCATTTTTGTTTGCTAGAGGTATTAAGATCAACAGTTTTTCTTTAACAAGGTCAGGGCTTTTTCTCTGAGCATCAGCCCACACGGTTCCCAAGTGGCTTACTTGCGTGGTTAGCCCAGGTATCTTGTTGGGATGTTAATCTTCCAGCTCTGGTTCATATATTGACTCATCTCATGAAAGGCAGTCTAGGGGCGCCTGAGTGGCTCAGTCGTTAAGCGTCTGCCTTCAGCTCGGGTCATGATCCCAGGGTCCTGGGATCGAGGCCCGCATCGGGCTCCCTGCTCGGCGGGAAGCCTGCTTCTCCCTCTCCCACTCCCTCTGCCTGTGTTCCCTCTCTCGCTGTGTCTCTCTCTGTTAAATAAATAAAATCTTTAAAAAGAAAAAAAAAGAAGAAGAAAGAAAGGCAGTCTACACGCTGTCTTTAGCCCTTTCAGTCAGAATAATGCCATCGATGTAAGGGTACCAAGACATATCTGGTGATATTTCAGCTTTTTTTTTAGGGCTAAGCCTATCCACTAGTGATAAATTATAGAGAGTTTAGGATAACCTATGGCAACATGATAAAATAAAGGTAATTAAAACCTGTGAAGGCAAATTGGCGCTAATCTTCAGGAGGCAATGGGATGCTGAGAAAGCATTAGCAATGTCTACAACTGCAAAACAAGACCTTCGGTCTGCATTATGGATTCTATGATTGTTAAATCTGGAACTGCATGTACCAGTATATTACTGCCAAATTGAGCTTGTGGGAGTCCATGGTGACGTGCCAAATAATATCGGCTTTTCCCCCGGTCACTGAGGGCTGTTATGTGATATAGTGTCTTTAAACACCTCTGCCTCCATTAGCTATTTGATCATTATAGTGACCTCTGACCCCTTCTCCTCCCCTGATCCCCTTCCCTGGTCTCCTGTACGGCTTCACAGTAACTATGTGACTACACTGGAGAGGTCTCATAGGCTCTGGGTTGTGTCCTTGTGCCACAACCATTATTCTAATTGTGGCATTTCCCCATTGGGAACATCCCTTATGATCAAGAGAATTATTACCTATAATTAACACATCTATTTCCACAATACATTCAGCAATATCAGTCACAACCACCTGAGTTGATACTGGCCCAAAAGAACCCACCTATAAGTTTATACTGTCAACTGGAAAATTATTTCTAAATCCAGTTCAAGTAATTTTTCTGACCATGACCAAGGGCATTTCCTGGCATCATAGTAACTTAGGTTCCAAGTCCATAAGTGCTTAAAATGTTTGGCAAACTTGGTCACTGTCAAGTCCCCAACATACTTTGACTAGTGCATGTGGTTTGGGTCCCTCCTCAGGAAGGACAGACCTTTGCCTTTTTTTTTTTTTTTTTTTTTTATTCATGAGAGAGCGAGAGAGAAAGGCAGAGGGAGAAGCAGGCTCCCAAGGAGCAGGGAGCCCGATGCGGGACTCGATCCCAGGACCCTGAGATCATGACCTGAGCCGAAGGCAGACGTTTAACCATCTGAGCCACCCAGGCGCCCGACCTTTGCCTTTTTGTTACTCCTTTTTGTTACTCCTTTCCTTTTTGTTCTTTTTTCTTTTTCTTTTTAGAGAGAGAGAGTGTGTGTGCGTGCATGTGCACAAGCATGCACAAGCAGTGGAGGGGCAAAGGGAGAGGGAGAGAATCTTTTTTTTTTTTAAGATTTTATTTATTTATTTGAGAGAGAGAGAATGAGAGACAGCAGGAGAGGGAGGAGGGTCAGAGGGAGAAGCAGACTCCCTGCCGAGCAGGGAGCTCGATGCGGGACTCGATCCAGGGACTCCAGGATCATGACCTGAGCCGAAGGCAGACGCTTAACCATCTGAGCCACCCAGGCGCCCAAGAGAAAGAATCTTAAGCAGGCTCCACACTCAGCACAGAGCCAAAGCAGAACTCCATCTCTTAACCCTGAGATCATGACCTGAGCTGAAATCAAGAGTTGGAGGCTTAACCAAATGAGCCACCCAGGCACCCCTCCTATTTGTTCTTAAAGGGTACGGTAAGGTTTGGAGAGGCAATATTGAAGGCGTTGTATCAACATCAATATGTACAACACAGACCTCTGCAAGGGGATCCTCTTGGTCCTTTTCTTTGTCCACAATAAATGCTAAAGCTGGTTGGGTATCTTTGCCTGTTACAGAAGATATACAAATGTATACATCAGGGGAATTCAAATTAAAACAACCATACACCCACCAGAAAGTTAAAAAAAAAAAAAAAAGGCATACAATATTACGTGTGTTAGGATGCAGAACAATTGGAACTATCATACAGAGCTGGTGGAACTGCAATTGGGAAACCACTTCAGAACACAGTTTGGCAGTATCTACTAAAGCTAAATATATGTGTATCCTATGACCCAGCAACGCCCCTCCTAGATATATATGTAACCAAGACGACACGTATACAAAGCAAAAGACTACAAACAAGAATGTTCATGGAGCACTATTCCTAGTAGCCCCAAGCTGAAAACAAGCCAAGTACCGTCAACAATGAGAATAAACAAACTTTATAGATTAATCTCACAAACGAAATATTTGTCAAAAGAAGTCAGACTAAAGGGGGGAAAAGTGTATACACAATATGATAACATTTATGTAAGGTTCAAAATCAGGCAAAACTAATCTATGTTGTTGTAAATCAGATGGAGACTTTACAGGAGGCAGGTAGGGGACTTCTGGGATGCTACACGAGTACACAAGTCTGAGCAATCTATGGAAATGTATCCAGCTTTACTCTAATGATTTGGACACTTTTTTGCGTGTTACATTCAAAAACTGTACTTTAAACACCCAACTTATTTTTTATTATTTAAAAAGAAATCGTGAAACAGTCTCAGGCATAGCAACACAACCACACCCGAGGTGATAAACCGAAGCAGACGCACTCAGACCAGCACTGAAGCGTCACTTTCCCCCTCTCCTTCCCCACAAGCCTGGCTGCAGTTAGGGCCCAGGCATTCCTCTTCTTGTCAGACTCCGATCGCCCCCGACCCCCGCAGGTCTTCTGGACTCTGCGGCGGCACCTCCCGCAGCCTGCTCCAAGCTGCGGCTGAGGGTTCCTGACCGCCCCGCTCCGCCCTCCAGGGCTCCTAGGTCACACTACAAGTCCCAGAAGTCCCCGGGGCGGAAAATAAACTTCCGGCTGAATGCGAGTTGGGCTGCCGGGTGCGCAGCCGGGACTGCGCAGTCGCAGTGCTTCGCCGTAGAGAGTGGAGGAGCAGGGGTCGAGGGCTGGCGCCGGGGGAGGAATACTCGGGTCGAACCTCTTTGGGGGTCTTTCGTGTTCTGGACTACACTTTCCAGAGGCCTCCGGGAGTGACGTCACTTCCTTCTAAGGTGGTCAGCGCCGTTGTGCCGGAGCGAGCTGCACAGCGCCCCGGCGCGGGAAGCGCGCGGCCCGTGGGTTCGTTCAGGTCTGGCGGAACGTGAGGGGAACGCCGGGGAAGCTGAAGGTGAGGCGTGTCTGAGCCCGGGGACCGAGACCGGCTGTGTGCGGAGCCTCAGCCATTAACACGTCAGAGTGTGTGTGTGTGACGTAATGTGCCTGTGGGACTGCATGATTATGTGTGACCACATGAAGGAGTGGTAATTGTGTCTCCAGCTGTGTGAGTGCTTGTGTAAAGCTGTGAGATCGACTCCTCCTTTACTTGTGTCATTGACTTTTTATGAGTTCGGCCCCTCCCAACTGTGTCTGGCTGGGAGCCGAATTGGGGGTGGGGGGTGGGGGAGGGAGCAATGATAGAGAAATGGTCACCCTGAGGCCAATTGTGGGTTTGAGGGTTTCTGGAAGCTTGTGGTTGTGGGGTCTCTGTGGCTGGCTGCGTTGCGGAAACCCAGATTGGCCTGTCGGTGGCTGGAAAGGCCAATACTCAAGAGTTTTGACTGGAAAGGAATCAAATTCCTTTTAAGGAAGGCCGGCCACTGGGGAAGGAGGCAGACTCTTGTCCAAAGGCCAACTCAGGTTTCTTCCTGGCCCAGAGATTTTTATTTTTATTTTCTTTTTTTGTTTTGTTTTGTTTCGTTTTGTTGTTTATTTTTGGCCCCGAGATTTTTAAAGGGGTTTAATCGGTTAAGGGAGCGCGGTGGTCTGTGACATTCTTGATGACACGCAGACTTGATGCCAGCTATAGAGTTAATCTTGGTCCTTGGAGGTTGTACAAGAAATTCTAGTTCCTTGGTGCTCTGCTTTTTGCTGGATTGTGCGAGAAGGTCTTGTTCCTTCGTACCCAGGGGTTGTTCAAGAATACTCTGTTTTTTCTGAAAAGGAGGGCAAAATCTACAGATGCGCAGAGGGAGGTCAGTAAAATCATTTGTGTGACCTTAAAAAAGAAAAACATTTTGCTAAAAGATTGCTGGGCTAATCAGAGAACTGAAGGGACTTCAAACAGACTTGCTGGCCTCTGTGGCCTGGGAAGGTTCCCGTCCTTTATTCCTGAAGGCCAGTGGTCTGCCTGTCTCAAAGAAAGCAAACTAGTTCTGTCACAGATCAAGGGACTTAAGTCAGCAAGCAAGGAGTGTGTTAACTTGAAGCAAGTAAGCCTTAAGACTGGCTGGAGTGCTGTTACAGCTGCCCCCTCTCCTTGTAGTCATGGGGGCCCAGGTTCCCTGGAAATGTCCCTGTCTGATGTGGGAAGATAGAAAGGTGAATCCCAGATTAAAGATTCCAGATAAAGAAATTTATCTCCAAGTCACAAACCTGATTTCATATTGAGATTTAAGAGCCAGAAACAGGGGGCACCTGGGTGGCTCAGTCGTTAAGCGTCTGCCTTCGGCTCAGGTCATGATCCCAGGGTCCTGGGATCGAGCCCCGCATCAGGCTCTCTGCTTGGCCGGGAGCCTGCTTCTCCCTCTCCCACTCCCCCTGCTTGTGTTCCCTCTCTAGCTGTCTCTTTCTCTCTGTCAAATAAAAAAATAAAATAAATAAAAAATAAAAAAAAAATCTTTAAGAGCCAGAAACAGCCCCAAGTTCAGGGGAGAGCCTGAGAAAAAAGGAGGAAAAAAGCTGGGGTTGTAAGATTCTAGCCTCTTCCCTCAGGAAATCACCTGGGGAGACTTGTGGGGATTCTCCACTTTCACTTTGGTTCTCAGAGAGGGCAGCATTGCTCAAGTCTCTCACTGACCTTCCTCTGAATGTTTATTTAGTTCAAGAGGGGTGGGAGTGGGGTGGAAGTAGTTGCTTGTTTCTAACAAGTTAGTCTGAGCTCAGATAAAGGCTTGGTGTCTCACGATTCTTTATGTCTTACCAATTAATGGACTTGTCTTACACAGGTGACCAGAGACTAAGGGAAGAGCCGCTGTTGGACAACTGAGAGTTTTATCCAAGGTAAGCTGTTATTCTTTCTTCTGTCTCTGAAGTGTTTTCTGGTTTTTCACCATACGGGAACATGGCTTTCTTTCTTTTGAAACTCCATAACAAGGATCCTTTTACTGTTCTGCTCTTTGGGCCTGGCTATTCCAAAGAATAATGGGGCCAAGAAGGAATGGACCCAATGAGGTTATTCCACTCCATTTTGTTCCTTATGACCTGAGGTACACATATTCACTGGGCAAACATTTCAATTCCATTTTTATACTTAGTCTTTTTCTAAGATTTTTGAAGGAATGGAATACATCTCTCAGAGTGGAATTTGAAAGCCTTGACTTTGAGTATTTTCTTTTCAATTTCATTGTTTAAGAGATCATCTTCTAAGTATTTAAAAGGTTCAGAAGAGTATACAGTGAATTCTCCTTCCCAGCCCTGCCCCTAAATATGAGCTTTTCCTCCTTAGAAAGCAACCAGTGTGCCTAGGTTCTTGAGTACTTCCAGGGGAATTCTATATATCCTTTAGTACATGATTGACTTCTTCACTTTATGGCTGCACGATATTACATAATTCCATAATTTTAAGAACTAACCCTTATTAATGAACTTTCAGATGGCTATTAGTCTTTTGCTGTTATAAACAATGGTGGGATAAATATCCTTGAATATATGTCATTTAGCCTATCAATGAGTTTGTTGGTAGAATGAATGCTAGTTTTTCAACAGTGTTTATGTGGACTTTAAATTTTCATAGTTTTTGCTATATTGTCCCTTGTATTATCACTTTTTTAACAATATTTTCTGATTTTATGTTTTATTCAAGGTATTTTGCTGGTTGTTGGAAAGTTTAAGGAAATTATTAATATGCTATTACAGGGTTTTTCAAGCTGTGGTGTTGTTACCTGATTTTTGTGTGTGGTAAAATCAGTTTACTAAGCCCTGATCAGCATTTTCCTTAACTCTTCATTGTAAAAAATTCAATCATGTACAAAAATAGACAAAGCAGCAGTGAACATCTGTGCACCACTTTGCTCAGTTTCAGTAATGACTGACTCATGGCTGATCTTGTTTAATCTGTACCTCTACTTACCAAGGATTATTTTGAGGCACGTACCAGAAGCTGTATCGTTCCTTCCATAAATGTGTATATCAATGATGGTCTTTTAAGAACTTAATCAAATACCATTAATCTCCATAAAAAAATAAATAATATTTCCTTAATATCAGATTTCCAAGTTAGAGTTTAGATTTCCGCACAGAGCAAATAACTTTGTTTTTAATTTTAAGATTTCTTTGAATCTGGGCCCAAATAAGATCCATGCATTGTGATTGGTTCATAAGTCTTTTTTTTTTTTTTTTTTTTTTTTTTAAAGATTTTATTTATTTATTTGAGACAGAGAGAATGAGAGGGAGGAGGGTCAGAGGGAGAAGCAGACTCCCTGCCGAGCAGGGAGCCCGATGCGGGACTCGATCCCGGGACTCCAGGATCATGACCTGAGCCGAAGGCAGTCGCTTAACCAACTGAGCCACCCAGGCGCCCTGGTTCATAAGTCTTTTTAAAGTCTTTTTAAAAATCTATAATTTCTTATTCTTGTTTAATTAAGAGAGAGAGAGTGAGCATGTGAGTGGGGGAAGAGGCACAGGAAGAGGGAGACCAAATCTGAAGCCGACTCCGTGCTGAGCATGGAGCCCGACACCAACTCCAGGCTCTATCTCACGACCACCAGATCATGACCTGAGCTGAAACCAAGCGTCAGACGCCCAACTGATTGAACCACCCAGGCGCCCCTCTTTCTTTTTCTTTCTTTCTCTCTTTCCTTTCTTTTTTTTTTTAAAGATTTTATTTATTTATTCATGAGAGACAGAGAGAGAGAGAGAGAGAAGCAGGCTCCCAAGGAGCAGGGAGCCCGATGCGGGACTCAATCCCAGGACCCTGGGATCATGACCTGAGCCAAAGGCAGATGCTTAACCATCTGAGCCACCCAGGCGCCCTCTCTCTTTCCTTTCAACGTATTTCTTGAAGAAGCTGGGTGATTTGTCCAGTAAAGTTTCCCACGATCTGTCATCATTAACATGTTCTTCTATATTTCTCTAGTTCAAGGTTAGACCTAGAGGCTTCATCGGGTTTAGTGTGTTCCCTCCATTTCCACTCCCCCCTTTTTTTGGCAAAATGACTATATTGATCCTAGTGTATACTTCCATGAAGAGGCACATGATGTCTGCTTGCCTCTTTTTGTGATATTTTCTATTATTATTTCATTAGAGATTGCTAAATAGTTATAGTCTAATTAATTATATCTCTATTAATTATATAAAGTGAAAATTCCCTGTATGAACTGATTGGTTATCTTGAGGTACAGATTCCTTAAGGTAGGCAAGACGGATTTTTTTTCTCCTAACTTAACAGTTTTCAAAATGAGGAAATAATGAATCATAATGAAATAATGGTTTGCTAGCATTCTCTCCTGGGGGACAGTGATTGTTATTTTTTACTATCATTATAACTGTGGATTTTGATACTTACGTGTTTCAATCTGTTGCAGTTATTTATGTATACTTAAATTAGTATTGTGCCATATTTGACCATTTGGAGCCTTTTCAGGTTGACTCAGGGGTCCTTTTGACTTGATCTTAGTAGTCATTGCTAGCTTTCTTGGTTTTCAGTAGATCTTCTTAGTCAGGAATCGACAGACTGTCTGCAAAGGACTATCTAGCTAATGTTTTAGGTTTATGGGTCATACATTCTCAGTTGCAACTACTCAACTTTGTTGTAGAGTGAAAGCAGCCATAGAGAATACATAAGCAAAAGGATGTGGCTAAGTTCCAGTGAAACTTTATTTCCAAAATGAGACAAGGGGTGTACCAAATAGGAGCAGAGTTTAAAAGGTGAAATTCAATATCTGATTTAGTGCACGCTAATAGAGATGATTTCATTTTTACAGAGAGTAGGTGCCAGCTGTAATTTTTAAGCAAGCACTGCCCACATACCTGCCTTCTAAACACACACTTAATGGAAATCAAATTTCCTGTAACACCCATGAAGGAGAAATGCTGTTACTTTGTTTCTAAACAGTTGTCAGATTTCTAGTACTATTTCAAATCAGACCCTCACCTTTTATGTGAAAAGGCCTCTTATAAATTTGATAGCTTGTTCAGGAAAAAGAAATGGGTAGATGGAATTTATTGGAGTTAAATTTGACTTTAGAAAAGGAAAAACAGAAGACTCATAGTGTTATTTTATCATTATGCATTTCTACCCTCTGTTTCTGAGCTCATTGGCTGAATAATGCCCCAAATAGGACTTGTCCTATGGCAGGGATCCGGAGTACCTGAATTGTATTGAATTAAATTTAATTGAAATTGTAAACATAAATTGTAAACAAAACCAAAAATCAAGCATTATTACCCTGTTAGAGGTTCTTGTCCATTTCCTGATTCAAGCCTCCTTCATATTAATGGGAAATGGCATTTCAAGACTATATTCTAGGTGCTAGGATATTCATTGCTACAGGGTTGATCATTGTTTCTGTGGCTTTATAAAGCTAGTATATATGTATCTTTTAGAAGATTAAAAAATAAATGTCACAACCCCAAGGAGCCTAGAGATATGAGAGTTAATGTAGTGTGTTCTGGATGAGATCATGGAACAGAAAAAGGACAGTTCTTTATTCCACACTTTATAAAATATGGAATAAATACTATGATTCTTCCACACTTTATAAAGAACACTCAAAAATAATACTCAGTGATTTGATTACTGAAAACAGTTTTCTGTTTTTGTTTGTTTGTTTATTATAATCTTCTTGTTCTTTAAGGTATATTCCACTGGGGATATGGAATCAATTACTGTATGCTAGAGTCATTTGGAATAGTTCTTCTTGAGATGTGCCACAAATTGGAATCAAAGATTTGTTTTAATTTTTAGAGATTGCTCTTTTAAAATTTAATTTTTTCCTATAATTATATAAAGTATTTATGTGGCCCCAAAGTCAAATATGCAAAACAAGGTTTAATTTCATCTCTTCCTTCAAAAAGTAGTCACTTTTTTCTCTTATGGTTTATTCCATCTTTTAAAATGTACTGTAAGAAAGCACATTAGTGTGCTTTAGATGTATTTATATTTATATATGCCACAAGCAACAAAACAAAAAGTAGATAAATGGACTTCATTAAAATTAAAAACTTTTGTGCCTCAAAGAACACTGTCAAGAGAGAGTCAAAGACAACCCAAACACATTATGGGGCAAAATTATTGCAAATTATTTTTCTGATGAGGGACTTGTGTCCAGCATATATAAAGATACATTACCACCTAATAATAAAAAGTTAAACAACCCAATTAAAAATGGACAAAGTATCCTGAATAGCATTTCTTTAAAGGAGATATACAAATTGCTATTAAGCAAATGACAAGGTACTCAACATCATTAGCCATCAGGAAAATAAAAATCAAAACCACAGAGCAATATCACTCACCCTGACTGGAATGGCTACAATAGAAAAGATAGACTGTAACAAGTGTTAAGAAGGATGTGAAGAGGGGCCCCTGGGTGGCTTAGTCAATTCTTGAGTTCTGTTCAGGTCATGATCTAAGGGTCAAGAGATGGAGCCCTGCGTAGGCTCTGCCCTGAGCATCAAACCTGCTTGAGATTCTCTTTCTCCTTGCCCCTCTACCCCCTACCCCCACTCCCGTTCACATGCATGTGCTCTCTCTTAAAAAAAAAAAGTGAATAAATTAGAACCCTCACACACAACTGGTGAGAGTATAAAATATACAAAGAATATCAATATAAAGAGAGAATATAAAATGGTGTGGTTGCTTTGGAAAATGTCTGGAGGAATGGTGACCAATGGTTGCAGGGTTTCTTTTGGAATAATGAAAATGTTCTAAAACTGTGGTAATGGATTCTGTGAATATACTAAAAACCATGGACTCGTACACTTAAAAATGTGAATTGTATGGCATGTGAATTAAATCTCAACAAAGTTGTTTAAAAATGTATGCCCTTAAGGAAAAATCA